GTTGAAGCGCGTTTAGCAAGCAACGTTAACTCTCAAATTATGCGCATCAATCCCACAGAGTTCTGCGAATCTGTGGGGCAAGCTGCCTCAATTCTTGAGACCACCCCTTTGTCGGCCAATTGGGTCATCCCACGATTTAGACGTAAGGGAGAGCCTTTTCCCTGGATCCAGCAAATTCTTGACATGCAAAACGGTAGTTTCACTAACGGTCTTTCCTCAAAAGTGTCCTGCATTACTGATTTCTCTCTTGAGAAGTGGAATGCTATGTCGGTGCTTGACATCAGAAAGGTGTTACCTTCTAAGCCGGGGCCCTTGAAGAGATTCAAGGCTGCCAAGAATCGATTGACAAAATTTAAAGACGTCCTTGAGAGATTTAAGCAAAGTCAAATTCTTGAAGAAGACTTCCGCTCGCACGTGCTTGAGCCAATTTGGGCTCCTACTGAGTTCTGTGCTTGCTGCAAGAAACCACTCCATTTCTCGAGTGAACCGCGTAACCTCACGCGAAGATGTACGAAACCATGTGATTTTCCTGTACAGTTGTTGGATGACTGGGCCTTGAAGTATGACCAGTTTATACTGGCTGTTGATGAAATCATCTCCAAACTTAGTTGAACATAACGCTCAAAGAACAGCGTAAAGTTCAGTGGATGCACAAGTCATCTCAATCCTTCGTCGCCTCAGACTCATGTCCGCTGGTACCCCCAAACCCCATTCTAATTATTAAGGCCCCTATATTACGGCTCCGTCATTGGCTTTGCGCGGCCTTTTGCCCCCCGCTCTCCTCCGGGTCAACGGCAACGGCGGAGTGGCGAGGATGCTTCTGCGCTTGGGCCACTGGGTTCGCGGCATTGGCTAATTAGGGGTTTAGGGGTTATAGGGCCTAATTAGGGTTTTAGGGTGTATAGGGCTTCCCGTCTCAGAATGAACTACTGCGCAAGTACTTGCTGCACAGCGCTAAGTCCAAAGTTGCAGTACAACAGGGTTTTGAAAAGAACAATACAAGATGCCCCCTGTAAAATTGAAATCTTTTGCTTAAAACGTAGTACACCAAGACCTTGTTCTGTTAATTAAGGCCTCTATCGCTGGGCCTCCCATAGAGCCCTTCTAGATACCGGCCCCTATGTTCCTGCTGAGCAGGGCCCTGGCAACTCGAATAAGTATTGACATTTCGGGTGGTATTCGTGTTATTACCTCGCTTGAGCTGCAGCAATGTACTACTAAACCCCTAAACCCTAAACACTAAACCGTACTAATCCCTAAGATCTTGTTTTTGTTTAAAGCTTCTGTGTTAGGCAAGCGGCACACCCCGGCGGCCACGGCCAGGATGCCGCCGAGGCCGCGAAGAACGGGACTTGGCTTTGTCTGAGAGACCTTCCGAGATCCCTAAAGGGACATTGAAAGGGTCTGGTCTAGGGTTTAGGGTTAGGGGTTTAGGGTTTAGGGTCTATGAGTCTTGTGGTGTAGAGTCTGGAATTTAAGGGTCGAGTTTGAAAGTTTGATGTTCCACAAGGGCTTTGTAAAGACAACATAGGGGCCTCAACCCATTAGCGGGGTATGCTATGATCTAGTACAACTACGTCTATTATATCGAGGAACCCCTAATGAATCGCACTTTCGAATTATTCAAGCTTCTATGTCCTTCGGGTCGGATCCTCAACCCGGCCCCGCCTGACTGGCCAGGTCCTCGGGCTGTGTGGCAAGGTCCGTCGTGTCAACAGCCTGCGATCCCGAAGCTGCGGAATAGAAACGCTTCTATACTAAGTCTGCTAAGTATTCGGCTTTAGACCTGTCGGAATCCGTTGGGATTGTAGGCCTGAGTGTTGAGTTTCCCAGATGTCCCGCACAAAGCTCATGTTCGCGGACAGGTTTGAAAGCCGAAGAAGGGCTTAAACAGCTCATGACCTCAGATGTGGAGGTTCGACACAGCTGCAAGGAGAACGGCGCGACTTAATGTAGGGACCTCAACAATTAGAATAGGGTTTTGGGGTATATTATTATACAATACTCATAATAAGGAACCCGCCCAAAATAGTGTTGGTAATTATTACGGCCCCTATCTCAACTGTCGGAATCCCGACCCAGCACTGTGGCTTAGGAGTTCAAGACTTGGGGCTTAGGGTTTACGGTTTAGGGCTTACAGGGTTTAGGGCTTAGGGGGTTGAGGGTTTAGGGCTTAGGGCGCAGGGTTTAGGGCTTAGGGCGCAGGGTTTAGGGCTTAGGGTTTGGGGTTTAGGCTTTAGCATCTGCCTACAGGGGCTGTGGCTTCGGCAAAGAGGCTAGCATTTCAGCATGGGAAACCAGAACTGTCTGACCCGTAGCCTTCACCGTTGCATGCTCCGCTTCTTGCCTCCGGGGGAGCGGGCGCCCTTCCGCAACCAACTCCTCGGGTTTAGATTCAGATTCCTATCAGGGTTTCTATAACCCTACAACCTTATAACCCTATAATAACCCTATAACCCTATAACCTTATAACCCTATAATAACCCTATAATAACCCTATAATAACCCTATAACCCTATAACCCTATAACCCTATAACCCTAAACCCTGAAGGGGTAGCAACGCCTGCAGGTACTCCAACCGCACCAGACGAATGTCTGCATTCAGAAGAAAGCCGCCCAGGTACATAGGCTCAGATAGTGAGGACTCGCACCATTCTTTGTGTAAGACGCCAGCGGCGAGATAGCAGGAAAGAAAGCACACTACCAAGACACCCCAACAAATGAGGTTGGCCAACAAAGCATAATAGACTAGCCTGTCGATGTCAGTGCTCTCCGGCAGCATCCTCCCCCAGGACATCGCATGTGGAACCAAGAACGCCCACAGAACCCCAACGAGGTAGTCTGCGACCTGCCACCCCAACAAACCCCATGCTGGTCCGTCCTCGTCCTTGTCGATCGCAAGAACTGTGAAAAAGCGGCAAAGCACTCTGCAGCCCACCTGCTTACAGATCCATCGTCTGCGCCGGGGTATAGCCAGAGAGCAGAGGCGTCGAATGCAAACACAGACGGTGAGCCTGGTTCCCAGTTTAGAGTAGGTTTTAGGGTCTACAGGGTGTAAGGGGTTTAAGGTCTACAGGGTGTAAAGGGTTTAGGGTTTAGGGTCTAGGTTTAGGGTTTAGGGCCATATTAAAAATGATCATTTTTAATCCTTATTTGGGGTTTACTATAACAAAAATGTAAAGTTGTATCCAGACAGGACCCAGTAGCAAGGCTGCGGCAAACAAGCTGACGATCAGAGAGAGGTCTTCGTTTTCATGTTCTACCTCCGCCGAACAAGAACAGCTTCACGGGAGGAAAGGATCAGAAGTGCCTAAACCCTAAACCCTAAACCCCTTAAGCCCCAAACCCATAAACCCCTAAACCCTAAACTCCTAAACCCCTCTTAAACCCCTAAACCCTCAACTCTAAACCTCTCCCAAAAGAAAGGATCAGAAGTCCCTGAACCCTAAACCCTAGGCCCTCGACCCTAAACCCTAACTCAAAGCGCAGTCGCGCTTTCCTATAAGGGATCATATTCTCCCAAAAAGCTTAAAGTGTACTAGCCAGTAATCAGATCCTCACTAGACAGACCCGTATAGAACCCGAAATCACAGGATCAAGGATCTTGCCAAGAGATTGTGGTCAGGTCCAAGCTCCACAGATCACTGAGAAAAGCGTCGCCATTGTCGACATCCGAACCTTCAGGCGAGGGCTGCAACAAAGCTCAGAGAAGGAGGCTTAGGGTTTAGGGTCTATGGTTTGGGGTGTCGAGTTTAGGGTTCAGGGTTAAGGGTTTAGGGTACACGGCTTAGGGGGTTTAGGGTTTAGGGACATAATTACACAGAGAGTTGGCTGAGAACCTATTCTGCTTCACGGCGTTTGGAGCGTTGCTACGAGCGGCTGTGCGCCGCGGCATCAGCAACACAGGGGAAAGGGATGAGCCACCGCTGTCGAAAGCCCTAAACCCCAAAGCCCTCTTTTGGCCGACAGATTCTTGTCTTAAGTATACCCAGCTACTCTACGTATGACACCCTGATCATGTCCCCACGAGCTGCACATGAACGAGTCGGATTCTTCCAATCGGGGCACTCGCAGGAATTTGAATTCTTGGGCCCAACGGTGACATAATGTTGGATGACGAAACAACAGCGGCACGAAAACCCTAGCCATCTGGCGGGCGTCGGCCTCCATGAATCCAGAGCTTCCCGGTCGCAGAGACAGCAGCATAACGAACTCGCTTGGGCCATCCGGAGCCGCTGCTTTTCCTCGGCTGCTGTTATATATTAAGGGTTCTAGGGTTTAGGGTTTAGGGTTCGGGGTTTAGGGTTTAGGGTTTAGGGTTAGGGTTAGGGTTTAGGGTTCAGGTTTTTAGGGTTAGTGTTTCGGGTTTAGGGTTCAGGGTTTGGGGTTTAGGGTTTAGGGTTGAGGGTTTAGGGTTTAGGGTGTAGTGAACCTTCTCTACCTGTACAAATGTAAGACTGCACCTTGACAACGGTCGCAGGAAGAAGAATGTAAAGCTCTTGAAAAGGAAGGACGAACCTAAACCCTAAACCCTCTACCCCTAAACACCTAAGCCCTAAATCCAAAACCCTAAACCCTAAATCCCTAAACCCTAGACCCTACACCCTATAGATCCCTTATAGATCCCTTAAAGGAGCCCCTTTATCCGTTAAAGGAGCCCCTTTAAAGGAACCCCTAAACTTGAAAGTTCCAGTTGAGCCTGGGCTCAGAGCCCAAAGGCCGGAGCTCGGATCGTAGGCCCAGACATCGTCCAACCAGCCCACCTCGCCGGGTCTCGGGTTTAGGGTTTAGGGTTTTGGGCTAAACCCTAAAAGCCCTAAAAACCCTAGAAACCCTTGAAGCACTAAACACCCTAAAAACCCTCTAAAAACCCCTTTAAAAAAAAAACTAAAAACCCTAAAAACCCGAAAAAAAACCGAAAAAACCTAAACCCTAAAAGGGCCTCACCGGGGTTCCAGCCGCCCTGGATCCAGATCAGTCCTCCAGCTGAAGCAAGAGCCTACACCCCAAACCCTAAACCGTGGTTTAGGGTTTAGGGTTTAGGGCTTAGGGCTTTAAGGGTTAAGGGTTTAGGGTTTAGGGCTTAGGGCTTTAAGGGTTAAGGGTTTAGGGTTTAGGAACTAGGGCTTTAAGGGTTAAGGGCTTAGGGTTTAGTCCTCCAGCTGAAGCAATGGCATGCTGGGAGCGTCTCGGAGGTCTTTCGGCGGTACTCCTTACGGGCTGAGTACCCTAGCCCAAAAAAGATTAATCTTTTGAATCATAGTAGGATCATATGCGCCCCAAAAGGCTAAAGGTTATGTACTTCGCCCCTAAGATACATCAGGTTCCATCGCCCAGCAGATATATTGTAGGACCACAGGTCACGTCCCCAGCCGTCATAGATCCAAATCACTCCTTCAGCATACACTGCCACATGGTCCATAAGTGGAGACGGTCCCATTCCTTCACTTTGTAAAGTCCAGTTGCCAGTATCAATGTCATAGCTCCACAGGTCATTCAGTAGCGATGTACGACCCAGATCTGTTCTTCCGAATCCGCCATGAATCCAAAGTCTACCGGATGCATACACGCCCACGTGGCGATGGCGTGCCCAGGGTCCTGCAAGAATGTTCATCCGATTCCAGCGCCCAGCAGATATATTGTAGGACCACAGGTCATCGAGCTGTCCTGCCGGCCATCCTGCCCAGCCGCCGTGGATCCAAATCGCTCCTTCAGCGTACACTGCCACATGCTCCTGACGTGGATAGGGGCCCGTGCCTTGACTTTGCAAAGCCCAGTGGTCAGTCTGAATGTCATAGCTCCACAATTCACGAAGCAGCGGTGTACCCGAATCCGTCGATCCCTTGGGCTCTTGTTACGGGATTGATTTAAGTTACTATAGTAAGGAAACCCTAATATTTACTAAAGATCCCTATTATGGTAACTTATTAAATTTAATCCCTTAACAAGAGCCCAGATTCCTCGCCACCGAAAAACCAGAGCACATCGCCATCGTCGGCAGCAGCTGCGTGATCTCGCCGGGCTAAAGGGGCAGCTGCAACGATGGCCACTAGGACATAGACCTTAAGAGCATGGCTCTAAAGCCTAAACTCAACCCCAAACCCTGAACTAAACTCTCAACCCCTAAGCCCTAAACCAAACCCTAAATCCTGAACCCTAAACCCTAAACCCTAAACCAAAAAACCCTAAACCCCAAACCCTGAAACCCTAAAAACCCTAAACCCTAAACCCTAAACCAAAAAACCCTAAACCAAAAAACCCTGAAACCCTGAACCCCAGCATGGCTCGGCACGGGCACCGAGGCGACGTGGAGGTTCATTGGGACGTAGCTATCAGTCACGGTTTAGGGTTTAGGGTTTAGGGTTTAGGTTTTAGGGTTTAGGGTTTAGGGTTTAGGGGGTTTTATAGGGTTACCATCAAGGTAGTATGAGGGAGGGTTTAGGGTTTAGGGTTTAGGGGTTAGGGTTTAAGGGTTCAATTTGGGGGGGATTCCTATCAAGGTACTGCTGATGATATAAACCCTGCATTGCCTTAAGGACCCCAAGCTTTGGGAATTTTGGTATATTCCTTCTTATGGGTATTGCCGGATTTATATCATCAACCGTAGTATGAGGGTAGGGTTTAGGGTATATGGCTTAGGGTTTAGAGTTTAGGGCCTATAGGGGTTGCAGGGTAGTTGACTTAAAAAGTAAGCTTACATGTACCTTATTTTAAGTCTTAATAGATAACTGGGAGTATACGTGAGAGTAAGCATGGCTACGTAGTAAGTCCCATGAACCTGTAAGTACGGGGTGAATCGATGGTCATGCCGGAACATGCTCGCTCACTCGGTGTCCCTTCGACATAGGTGATAGTTTTGTATTGTGATGTCGGGTACTCAGTGGAAAGCCTGCATAACATCCGTTTTGCTTTGCTCGTTGCAGAGGCATGGTTCAACTTCTTGCGCTACGGAGCCAAGGAAAGACTCTGCGGCGCAGTCAGACATGCAGCGAGATCCCCACTTCTGAAGAACCATAAACACTGAACCCTAAATTCCAAACAAAACCCCTTAAACCCTAAACCCTAAACCCATAACCCTAAACCCTAAACCCTAAACTCTAAACTAAACCCAAGGAAGGGATGTCAGGGTTGCTCATGTTAGCTGCTCTGCAGTGTGCCCCAAAATCCTCGTCTAAGTGTTAAGGCGCCTATATTGGAGTTGCTGAAGACGTCTGAAGAGGTAGTAGTATCATTCCACCAGTCCCCACGTAATTTTACCATGGTATACCCCCAAAGCCCTGTTGCATAGTTTATTCAACCTATATCACGGATTCCATCTAAATCTTTGGAGTTGCCACCCACAACCACGTTGCATATCGACTCTGCTGCATTACCATGTCCCACCCTCTCCTTCCTTAGGAAGGACATTGTTAGTTATTCAATCCTAAACCCTAAACCCTAAACCCGAACTCCTAACTCCTAAACCCTAAACCCTAACTCCTAAACCCAAGACCCTAAACCCTAAACCCTAACTCCTAAATCCTAAACCCTAAACCCGAACTCCTAAACCCTCAACCCTAACTCCTAAACCCTAAACCCTAAACCCTAAATCCTAAACCCTAAACCCTAACTCCTAAACCCTGAACCCTAAACCCTAACTCCTAGACCCTAAACCCTAAACCCTAACTCCTCAACCCTAAACCCTAACTCCTACACCCTCAACCCTAAAGCCTAACTCCTAAATCCTAAACCCTAAACCCTAACCCCTAAACCCTAAGATTCGAAGGCCCAAAGCCCGACAGTCTCGCCCCACCAGGCTCCCTGCCGGGGTCACTCAGGGAAGGAGAACCTGCACATGGGTAGTCCTCTAAAGTATTCAAAGAGTCCCTTTAAAGGGATCTATAGGGATTTAGGGTTTAGGGGTTATCGGGTTTAGGGTTTAGGGTTTTTTAATTTGATATGGGTAGTTCTCTAAAGTAGGGTGCCTTTTGGGGGTCCTTTTAATAAGGGTGCCGTACTATATTGGGGACTGAAAAAGGGACCCTAACTTAGAGAACTACCCACATGGGGCTGTCCATGTAAACGGGGCCTCTACAGGTAAACTAAGGTCCTTACATGGGTTCCTTTTATCATATGTTGGCTACACTAACGAACGCTAAAGAGTAACATGAACAGACATTCCAATTGTTCTTGGAGTTGCTTAATCTTCGGGGTCCTTCTCGGGGAGTCAGTCTTCATATTCAGGATCCTATTTTGTCCCGAATGGCTAGAGGGAAGCAGAGAGCAAGAAAGCCCCCTTCAGGAGGCTTTGTGGGTGAACTCTAAACCCTAATCGAGAATAAGACGTGGGGCGGTTGGGGGGGACTTCATGCTGACGCAAGCGCGCGATAAGCGGGTACGCCCCTATTCCTAAAGTAAAAACGCACCCAGCCCACGCACACTGTACACCCTCAAACCCTAAACCCCCAACCCTAGAACCCT